ATATACAGGGTGTGTCAAATGTCTGGAATATAGCCAATAACTTCGCCATTTGTGGTTTTAAAGAAAAATGTTTCAAACAAATCTTATTTACAATCGAGCCAGTAACAACTTTCATTAAAACATTTTTTTCGAATAATCGAAATTATAGAATCTTAAATTTCCCTGTGAATAGTACAATACAAAAAAATTTCAATTTATCAAAAATTGTTTCAGATAAAATTTGTTTAGAATATGATTTATAATCGATTATTTAAATAAAAAAATTTGATATAGTTACTAGATAGCGCTGTATACTGATATATACACATATATACAGGCTGTGTCAAATGTCTGGAATATAGCCAATAACTTCGCCATTTGTGGTTTTAAAGAAAAATGTTTCAAACAAATCTTATTTACAATCGAGCCAGTAACAACTTTCATTAAAACATTTTTTTCGAATAATCGAAATTATAAAATCTTATATTTCCCTGTGAATAGTACGATGAAAATTCAATTTTATCAAAAATCATTTTAGATAAAATTTGTTTAAAATACCATTCCAAAACAAGTTTCAAATGAAGACGTAATATAACTAACTCACAGAAGCGTTTGCTTGAATTACCCCTTTTTGTCTTTAATCTTGGAAATAATAGTTAAAATTAAATTTATTTTTTTTTAATTTTCAGTAAAACCATTTATGATTCGTCCACCTCAAAACATAACCGCTTTGGTTGGTTCAACCGTTGAATTTTCTTGCAACGTCGGCGGAGATCCATTCCCTGAAGTGTCTTGGTGGCGCAACGCAACTGGAGGATCAATGCCGTTAGGAAGAGTCCGCGTTTTAGAAGATCGAACTTTACGATTAGAAAATGTCGTATTAAAAGACGAAGGAAAATACACTTGTGACGTTAGCAACCCTGCCGGGTCTTTAACCGCAACCGGAAACTTAATCGTTCACGCTCCGCCCACCTTCACAACAAGACCTTTAGCCCAAACGATAGAAGTAGGACAAGAAGTGATGTTTCATTGCCACGCGAACGGGAATCCATCACCGTTTATCTTTTGGTCGTTCGAAAGCGATCGGAATTTGATTTTCCCCGGCACATCTTTCGGTAATTTCGAAGCTTACAGCTCAGGAAATAGTGCTACTTTAACGTTGAAGAATGCTCAAATACAAAATTCGGGTACCGTTATTATCTGTTCGGCGATTAATTGGGCGGGGGCCGTTTCTTCGCGCACAAGACTGACCGTAACCTCAAAAGAAGATCGACCCCCGCCCGTCATCATCAGAGGACCTGTTAACCAAACGTTACCGTTTAACTCAATGGCTGTGTTACATTGCGAAGCAATCGGAACCCCAACCCCGGTGATATCATGGTATAAAGAAGAAGTTGGGATTTTACAATCAGAAAAGATCAACACGACTTTATCGGGAATCTTAATGATTCAACATTTAGAAAAAACCGATTCCGGGAAATACACTTGCGTTGCCTCATCCCGTGGAGGAAAAGCAACTTGGTCGGGGTTCTTGAGGGTTGAAAACCCAAAAAATCCCAATATCAATTTCTTTAAAGCGCCGGAATTTGTTATGTTACCAGGTCCTCCAAGTCGACCTCACGCTTTAAATCAAAGCGAAGGGAGCGTTACGATTACGTGGGGACAAAACAACAAGATTGGGTCATCTTCATTACTTGGTTATCAAGTCGAGTTATTCGGGAGAGAAGAAGGTGTGATTCCAACTTGGACTATCGTTGCAAGAAGAGTTTCGGGTCCTTATTTCACCCAGCATTTATTAACATCGGGGATTCCTTATACTTTTTTGATCCGAGCTGAGAATTCGCATGGTTTAGGACCACCTTCGTTGTTGTCGGAGCCAATTTTTGTGGGGCAAGATACAACGCAAAATTGGGGTAACCCAGAAGTCACTGAAATCAGTGAGGCGCGAGCTAGTTTGATATCTTCATCGATCGCGAAATTAAACGAAGCTCTCCCAGTTTTATCAACAGCTGTAAAATTAGTTTGGACGATTTCAGATTCAAAATATCTTGAGGGGTTGTATATTTATTATGTTTCTTTGGATGTTAACCCGAATAAATATAACATGTTGACGATTCTTTTGGATAAAGGGAGTACTTCGGGGTTTACGGTGAATAACTTGGAGAAATGGGCCAAGTACCAATTCTTTTTGGTGCCTTTTTACAAAAACGTTGAGGGGCAACCTTCGAATTCGCGAACTGTGAAGACTTTGGAGGATGTGCCGAGTAAATCCCCCAGTAATATGGAGGCTATGTTGGTTAATTCAACTTCGGTTTATTTGAAGTGGTTAATTCCGAGCGATGAAAGCATCAACGGGGAATTACAAGGATTTAAAGTCGAAATTAAGCCGAATATAACTAACTCTAAAAGTGAGGTTATCACAACCGATCGCGAACCAACCCTTTTATTATCAAATTTACTTTCGGGGTTGTTATACACCGTAAAAGTCGCTGCTTTCACTCGAGTTGGGGTTGGTCCATTTAGCACCCCGGCTTTATTAAAGCTGGATCAACCTTCAAGTGACCAACATCAACGCCCGATTGGGGCCAACATCGAAGAGGTTGAGTTTTTAACCGAAACTTGGTTCATGGCGTTATTAATAAGCATGGTGACTGTTATGATAATTTTATTTGGGGCTATGTTGATCGTTAGGAGGAGGCAGTTGTTATCGAAGAAAAATTTGCCATCTCGCTCAAACGGGGCGGTTTTAACCACGCCGATGAGCAAGCAAGATCCACCTTTATGGCTGGATAAAGACGCGATTCCCGATTTTTCGAGCACTCTCCCCGATTATGGGAAACTCCCGCAACAAGATTACAGCAATTTAGCCCCGAAAAAGGATAATAATAGTTATAACATTAATTTACACACAAATCCGTTGCATCAAAAGGAATATTTACGGCCGGATCGCCTCGAATATATCGACAATAAAAATTATTCCGTTTTAAAAAACGAGTATGGGAGGAAAGCGCAAATACAGGACTACGCAAGTCCAAATATCGATAAATCATTAGCTGATTACGCGGAAGTCGATCAAAATGTTATTCAGTGTAATGGAGCTGTTTCTCCTGCGCCTTATGCAACAACAACTTTAGTTAAGCGAATGGGAAATTCCATGGTGATTATTTAATTAAATATATTAGTACCATTTATGCCATATCGATACAATACTGAATAGCAGATATTGGAATTTAGATTTTGGTCGAGAGAGGTCGCTTGCGGCCGAGGCATTAGAGTATGAGTTGTCCAATATTGCAAAATTGTAGCGCTTCGCCCGCAAGCGACCTCGGCTTATTACATAAAGGCATACACTTCATTCATAGTTAAGCCGAGGTCGCTTGCGGCCGAGGCATTAGAGTATGTGTTGACCAATATTGTATAAATTGTAGCGCCTCGCCCGCAAGCGACCTCGGCTTATTACACAAAACATACATTATTCATACATAGTTAAGCCGAGGTCGCTTGCGGCCGAGGCATTAGAGTGTATGTTGTCCAATATTGGATAAATTGTAGCGCCTCGCCCGCAAGCGACCTCGGCTTATTACACAAAGAATACATTATTCATACATAGTTAAGCCGAGGTCGCTTGCGGCCGAGGCATTAGAGTGTATGTTGTCCAATATTGGATAAATTGTAGCGCCTCGCCCGCAAGCGACCTCGGCTTATTACACAAATACATACACTATTCATACATAGTTAAGCCGAGGTCGCTTGCGGCCGAGGCATTAGAGTGTATGTTGTTCAATGTTGGATAAATTGTAGCGTATTGTCCGCAAGCAACCTCGGCGTATTACACAAAACATACATTATTCATACATAGTTAAGCCGAGGTCGCTTGCGGCCGAGGCATTAGAGTGTATGTTGTCCAATATTGGATAAATTGTAGCGCCTCGTCCGCAAGCGACCTCGGCTTATTATACCAAGACACTATTCATCCATAGTTAAGCCGAGGCATTAGAGTATAATATACAGGGTGAGCTATTAGTATCCCGGCGGACGATAGTTGCTAAACCGTTTAAGAAAGAAAAAAATATTTTATACAAAAGTTGTTTGACTCACTTTCTATTATGTAAAATTATTTTCACTTATACAGGGTATTCCATTTAGACGTAACGGAGAGAATGTAGATTTTTTTTAAATGGAACATCCTGTATATTTTATCTTATTCTGAATAGAATTAAATTAGTTTATACTACGTATATGTTACTAACTCATAGCGTTCATAGTTCCTGAGATATTCAATTGTTTTTCCAAAATGTGTCTATTGCAGGATCTTTTTAAAAACGACGTAAAAACAACATTTTTTTCAATTTTGCCTTGAAACTGTGTCAGATCATAGTCAATGCCAGTAGGTAAATGATAGTATCCAAAGATATTAGATACGCTATACAGCGTGTTCATAAAGCTTAGTTACTTTTGACGTTTTTCAAATGGCTTTTTCATACTTTTTTTAAATGGAACAGCCTGTATATTGTGTGCTGGTTGAATTGCCCATCAAGTTACCTTTAATTAATAATAAGTATGTCATATATCTAACTTTAGTAGTTTTGCTGATATTTAGAATTTAAAGAATAATGTATTATATTCTGTCAGTTTTTTATTTTTATCAGTTTTTTTTGTCTTCCTTTTATTATTTGATTAATATTTTATAATGTAAAATAATTTTGCTGCTTATGAGATTTAAAAATATGTAAGTAATTAAATATACAATTGTTGAGCCATAAAATTTACGACTTTAGAGAAAATAAAATGTACATGTTAAGAGAAAATGGGCGGCATTTTCAACAACTTCTAAATATTAATTAAATTAATACCTATTTGTTGAGCAAAGTTTAGTAATTGTACATAGTTTGTTGCTGCATTTCCTTCAAATAATTTAGTAATGAAAAAAGGGATTTATTGTTCTGCCATTTAATTGTATTATTAAAGTTTTTTTTAATTGTATTTTAATATAATATTACGGATTTACAAATGACAAAGTTAGACATAAGTAGACATTAATTAGACATTATTATCATTAATTAAAGAGCACTTGATGAGCAATTCAACTAGCACACAATATACAGGCTGTTCCATTTAAAAAACTTAAGAAAAAGCCATTTGAAAAACATCAAAAGTAACTAAGCTTTATAAACAGCCTGTATATTGTANATAAAGCTTAGTTACTTTTGACGTTTTTCAAATGGCTTTTTCATACTTTTTTTAAATGGAACAGCCTGTATATTGTGTGCTGGTTGAATTGCCCATCAAGTTACCTGCAATTAATAATAAGTATGTCATCTATCTAACTTTAGTTTAGTAATTGTATATAGTTTGTTGCTGCATTTCCTTCAAATGATTTAGTAATTAAAAAAGAGATTTATTGTTCTGCCATTTAATTGTATTTTTATCACGTTTTAATTATTTATTCATAAAAGTTTCTTTTTAATTGTATTTTAATATAATATTACGGATTTACAAATGACAAAATTAGATATATGACACACTTATTATTAATTAAAGGTAACTTGATGGGCAATTCAACCAGCACACAATATACAGGGTGTTCCATTTAAAAAACTTAAGAAAAACATCAAAAGTAACTAAGCTTTATAAAGATCCTGTACAGTGTATCTAATATCTTTGGATACTATCATCTACCTACTGGCTTTGACTATTGTCTGACGTAGTTTCAAATCAATATCAGAAAAAATGTCGTTTTTACATCGTATTTAAAAAGATCCTGTAATTGACACATTTTGGAAGAACAATTGAATATCTCAGGAACTATGAACGCTGTGAAATAGTAACATATACGGTTGTATAAACAAATTTAGTTGTATTTATAATATGATAAAATATACAGGATGTTCCATTTAAATAAATTTACGTACTCTCCGTTACGCTTAAATGAAACAGCCTGTATAAGGAAAATAATTTTACGTAATAGAAAGTGACGAGTCAAACAAGTTTTGTATAAAATATTTTTTTGTTTTTCAAACGATTTAGTAACTATCGACCGCCAGTATAGTAATAACTCACCCTGTATGTTGTCCAATATTGTATAAATTGTAGCGCCTCGCCCACAAGCGACCTCGGCTTATTACACAAAGAAACTATTCATCCATACTTAAACCGAGGCCAATATATACTGTTTAATATTGTATCAAGATGTCATTAATTGAACTGCCTCGGCCGCAAGCGAGCTCGGCTTTATAAGTTAAAATTTCGCGTTTTAATTAAGCCGAGGTCGCTTTCAGCGGAGATATTGCAGTATATATTTAATTAAATTATTATAAAAATTTTTTTATTTTTAGGTTTGGATCCCACCAGTTGCCCCAAACGCGGATGAACCAATTTATCCATCATCAAACGGAGGTTATTATAACAGAAAGGTGTACTCTGATTCGTATTTCGCGCCAACTCACACTTTAAAACGGAAGAAAGAGCGAAAAGAAACGATTATTAACCAGAATAATCATTCCAATCCCTTAATTAATAACACAAATAATTCCTCACCCGATCCGTCGAATTCAAATTCGGTTTATGCTCGAGTTGGGCCTCCCGGTTTATCATGGAACGGGGCCCCTCCTCACTTGAGTAGTTTTAATCCTCATAAGCAGGTGTATCATCCATCGACGAGGAGCGAACCGGGAAACATGCTGTGAATTTGTACAAAAATCACTTTTTCTACACCATTGTATATTTCCCTTCTTTGTTTTAACTCTTTAAGACACACTTAATTCGTTTTAAATTTGCGTTAAAGAGTTAATGATAAGAAAATAATTAAAAAAAAACTCGGCGCCTTCATCGTGATGAAAAAATATAAATAATTATAACAAAAAAAATAATGAAAATGATTAAAAAATAAACTCCTGTACTAGTCATTTATATATAATTATTATTATTTTGCTGGAGTTATTCGAATTCCTTTTTGTTGCGTTTTGTGCCAGTTGTTAAGGATTGAGTCATACTTGAGTCGTCGTGATAACGTTTATCCTTGAAGAAATAGGGGAATTATTTTTAACTTGAAAACAAGAATAGCTAAGGAAAAAGGTTTTAAAGAAAACTTCCAACAATGTTAACCGTTCAAATTCCTAGATTTGATAACAAAACTATAATATATATATATAAAAAGGAACGAAACGATAATAATAACTGCCACAAAAAGTAATGAAATAAAAAAAATCATTTGTAAAATATTAGAAAACTAATTAATTGTAAAAGAAATCGTCCATTATGCTAACCTGTATCCTATAAACAATAAATAAATTAGCGTAGTGTTTGTATAAAGTGTCATTAAAAAAATTGAAAATGCATCCCGCTGTATAAATATTAAAAACGATTATAAGAAACATATCACATCAATTTTTTGTTAATAATCGAGTCAAAAAAGTATTACTAATTAAGGACGTAAATAAATCTTTTTGTCTTCCGTTTCGTCAGAAAAACATTTTTTTGTTGCCTTTTCGATCAATATTTTCGTTGTCCAATTGAAATTGAATCTTCCTCCTCCTCTTCCGAGATAAATGTCATCTTCGTATATTTTTGTACACAGCCAGCGCAAAAATTGACATCGTTAAACGCGATAATAATGCCGAAGATAAATAATTAAGTTAAGGAAAAAAAATTGATAAGGATTAAACGAGAAATACTGAGTACTGTAATGATATTGTATCTATACTTTAATTAAGTAAAAGAAAGTATAAGTTACCAAATAAATTATTGTAATATATTTTTTGATTTTTATTTTATATTAAATTAACCCAATTAGGTGCTTCAGATCTCTTTGCATTTAAGGAATTTTACTGGGTAGCTGTAGGAACATGAGGATGTTTCCAAAATGTTTGTTTTTTAGCCTAATCTGATAAGATGAGCTAGGATAACACCTTGGATCTCGATTATTATGATTACAATGGGATAGTTTTCTTAGAAATATCATTTAAAAGAATCTTAATAACCTACCTGAAATAGCAATCAAAACTTAGTTAGTTAGTTCTAACACTAGGTCAAGCTAACTTAGTTCTAAGTCTAGTGTTAGTTCTAGTTTTTGCTTCTAGAATACATAAAATATTCTTTGTAACACGACTAATACACACATTTCAATTTTGGAAATGACTTAAACACTTGGTCCCTTAACTTCTAAATTCGCAATTTTAATTTTTTTAATTTATTTTTGTTCCTAAGATGTTCCAAATGACCTAAGGAACACGATGAGTACATACATTTCAAATTTGGCAATAGCAAAAAAAATTACACTATTGCAAACAGTCATTTCGTTACCTCTAAATTTGCAATTTTAATTTTTTTATTTTTTTTGTTCCTAAGATGTTCAAAAAGACCTAAGGAACACGACTAATACACACTTTTCAATTTTGGCAATGACAAAAATAAAAATTAATTTTCGGTCCCTTAACTTCTAAATTTATAATTTTAATTTTTTAATTATTTTTTGTTCCTAATATGTTCCAAATGACCTAGGGAACAGGATGAGCACACACAATTTAAATTTGGCAGTAGCAAAGCAACATTTTTGAGCCATCCATCATTATTATCGCAATTATTTCAAGAAATATGTCATGATAAATGATAATTATTAAAAAAATATATAATAAAAAGTTACCAAATAAATTGTTGTTCTTCAAAAACTTCTTTGACTACTTAATTTTTGAGTTAACAACTTTTTTACTCACTCGAGCCACACGAACAAACGAAATTAATAAATCAACAGGTTTATTCGCGAGGACCAAGTATGTAAAAGAATTTAGCAATAAAAAACTTTCAAAGGAGACACAGCCGACTAAATCGACGTTGAAAATTGAAATGACACGTTTTGAAAAAGCTTTAAACTATGTGTAATCGCTGAAGGTGGTTATCGGAAAAGTAGAGCGGTTTTTTATCCTTTTCATTTTTCCCCATATTTTTTAAAATAATTGCGAAAATCGACTTTATGCCAGCTAATCCTTAAAGGTCATCCGGCGATGACGAAGTAACTTTTAAAAAAGGATGATAATATTCAAATTAGCGACAAGGCTATCGCTTGGAAATAACTAAAATACCTGTTGCTTCATATTCCTCGAGGAATGTGAACAACAGATCGTCATTTTCTACACGTGTAAATATGAATAATCCTTTTTTTTTTAATTTTTAATAAAAATAAACTAAAACAAAATAATCAAGTTAACTAGCAACCACTTTCTTAGTAACGTCAATACAAACATTTTAAACGTCAATATGGCGGAAGAGATTGAGGTTATTCTCGCGAAATATTCAACCCAAGAATCAAGTATAAATGAGAGATTAATCAAAAAGTATTGATTAAATGTAATTAATTGTGATCTTAATAATTGATTTTCTTTATCCTAGAAAAGAAGAGAAAATTCAAAAACATAGCGAGTTTAAAAAGGAGAGGCGAGAAAAACGCGAGAAAAACATGGAAATTGCCACTTTAAGAAACAAAGAGATTATTCAGGTGATTATTAATAATTAAATTAATTACCCAAATTATTTTCTTTTATAAATTAAAGAATTTAGAAGCAACTAAAGGATACTTACGATCAAAATCGATTTTTAGCCCTTCCGAAATGGTTTTCACCGACATCTGTCGGCGATACAAAGAATCGCCGTCATTACAGGTTTCTACATGGCGCTGTAATTTACGAACATTTGTATAATGTAATATGAGATAATAACTTAATCATTTAACATCAAACATTTATTGTTATAAGAATTTTTTAAATCAATAAAAATTCAAAATTATCACAGCAAGATTTTTTTAATAACATCAAATTACTCCATTTTAGCTTTGGCGTCTTTAAAACTCGGCTCCCCATCATCGTTTGTCGTTAATTCTCTCGGGGCGAGCAATTGATGCAAAACAACGATGAAAATAACTCCGGTTAGAGTGTAGTTTAATACGTACAAAGAAAATACGCCGTAAATTTGTCCAATAACCGCCAAGAAGTAGATTATGTAACTAATCTCAATGTATCCTTTTCTGTAAATAAATTATTAATAAGTTATAAAATAATGAATGATTATTATTACTTGGACACTTTGGGTAATTCCATCTGCCATAAAGGAATTGCACAACCGCAAAGAATTAATCCGGGGATAAAGGATGGATCAACTATGAGTTTTGGGTTGTATTTGAAGTTGTGGGCCCAAGTTAATGTTGTTGGGATATTTATGCACGTCACCAAAAACCATAAAGAAAACATGGTGAAGTGGAAAAATAACTCGTTGTTTTCGAGAACTTCGCGAAGCAACAAAAATATCCCTTCATTTTCATCCTCCTTTTTATCTGAAGTTGTTGGTTTATCTTCATTATCATCATTTTCTTGTTCATTATCTTTCTCAACAGGAGAAGAAGTAATCGCAGTTTTAGAATCACTCTTCTTAAATATTTGCTTGATCCAAACCCCGACGATTTTTAATAATTTTTTAACGATATTCTCAATAACATCTTGAGATATCTGAGTCAACTTAAAGAAATAAAACATACACCCTAAAGCCAAAGCTAATCCGCCACAAGTTGTTGTACTAATTGCTATTAAACAAGCTGCCACTAACGTCGGGAACTTTTGGAATCCGCTAAGAACCCAATCGGACCAACTTGCGGGTGTTTGAATGGTTTTTGAAATTAATTTTAAAACGATCTTGTGAATTGTTGACTCAAAAACGAAAAGGGTTATCATTAAAAATAATGAGAGGACCCAAACAATTCCGACGGCGGCCAAATATAATAAAATTGGGGTTAAAAATGTGTTTAGACCTTCGTGTTGGATGACGTTCCAATCGGGACGGGGAAAGATTTTTAATAAAATGGGGATTCTACAAAAAAAAAATTAATTATTTTATTAAATTAACATTATTTTGGCTTACGATAAAATTTGCGATGCGATTTTTACTATTGGCAAGAAATAATAAGGTTTCGCTCCAAGTTTTAATCCGGTTAAGAACATGGGGAAGTGTTGGGTTTCGCAAACTCCTTTTAATTGGTATACTAAAACTAGTAAAGTTACCGAGGCGACGCTTGAGAAGATGAATGGGGAGTAATAACGGGCGAATTGAGCGAATTGTTTCGATATTGATGCTTCAATGCTGTAAGGAAAAGAAATTATTTAAAAAAAAAACTACAAAAAAAGTAACATCTTTAAGCTAAAAAAGAAATTCAGCTGGGTTAGAAAGTATTAAAAGAGAATTTACTATGATAAAGTCAATTGGAGATAAGATACTACTTGAAAAAGACTAAATAATGTTGGCAGAAGACTAAAAACTGTTCGCAGAAAACTAAATACTGTTGACAGAAGATAAATACTGTTGGCAGAAGACTTGATGTTGAACTAATGCTAATTAAAGACTAGATACTGCTTGTAAAAGGCTAAATACTGTTTCTGAAAAAGTAGATATTGCTGGCAAATTACATTTTTAATACAGAAGACTAATTGTTAATAAAACACTTGATACTGCTTACAAAACACTAAACACTGCCTGTAAAAAACTAAATACTGCTTGATAATTACTAGACACTGTTGATATTTTCAACGTAAAAAAATGGAAACCATTAATAAAATACTTGATATCGCTTGACAAACACTAAATATAGCTGACAGAAAACTAGCTTCTACTGGCAGAAGACTAGATACTACTGGAAGATGACCAAATATTGCCGGTAGAAGACATTTTCAATGTAAAAGGCAAGAAGATGATAATAAAACACTTGAAATTGCTTACAAATCACTAAATACTGCGCGCAAAAGGCTAAATACTGGTGACAAAAGACAAAATACTGCTGGTAGATGATATTTTCAATGTAAACGTCTAGAAACTACTAATAAAACACTTGACACTGGTTGCAAAATACTAACTATAGCTGCCAAAAGACTAAATACTACCAATAGAGGACTAGATACTGCCAGTAGAAGATATTTTCAAAGTAAAAGATAAGAAATTGCCAATAATACACTTGACACTTCTTACAAATCACTAAATACTGCGTGCAAAAGACTAAATACTGGTGGAAAAAGTCAAAATATTGCTGGTAGATGATATTTTCAATGTAAACGTCTAGAAACTACTAATAAAACACTTGACACTGCTTGCAAAATACTAAATATAGCTTCTAGAAGACTAAATACTACTAATAGAGGACTAGATACTGCTAGGAGAAGATATGTTCAATGTAACAGATACGAAACTGTCAATAATACATTTGACACTGCTTGCAAATCATTAAATACTGCGTGCAAAAGGCTAAATACTGGTGGAAAAAATCAAAATACTGCTGGTAGATGATATTTTCAATGTAAACGTCTAGAAACTACTAATAAAACACTTGACACTGCTTGCAAAATACTAAATATAGCTTCCAGAAGACTAAATACTACTAACAGAGGACTAGATACTGCCAGCAGAAGATATGTTCAAAGTAAGAGATAAGAAATTGCCAATAATACAGTTGACACTTCTTACAAATCACTAAATACTGCGTGTAAAGACTAAATACTGGTGGAAAAAGTCAAAATACTGCCGATAGATGATATTATCAATGTAAACGTCTAGAAACTACTAATAAAACATTTGACACTGCTTGCAAAATACTAAATATAGCTTCCAGACGACTAAATACTACTAATAGAGGACTAGATACTGCCAGCAAAAGATATGTTCAAAGTAAAAGATAAGAAATTGCCAATAATACACTTGACACTGCTTGCAAATAATTAAATACTGCGTGCAAAAGGCTAAATACTGGTGGAAAAAGACAAAATACTGCTGGTAGATGATATTTTCAATGTAAACGTTTAGAAACTACTAATAAAACACTTGACACTGCTTGCAAAATACTAAATGTAGCTTCCAGAAGACTAAATACTACTAATAGAGGACTAGATACTGCCAGCAGAAGATATGTTCAAAGTAAAAGATAAGAAATTGCCAATAATACACTTGACACTTCTTACAATTCACTAAATACTGCGTGCAAAAGACTAAATACTGGTGGAAAAAGACAATATACTGCTGGCAGGTGATATTTTCAATGTAGACGACTAGAAACTACTAATAAAACACTTGACACTGCTTGCAAAATACTAAATATAGCTTCCAGAAGACTAAATACTACTAACAGAGGACTAGATACTGCCAGCAGAAGATATGTTCAAAGTAAGAGATAAGAAATTGCCAATAATACAGTTAACACTTCTTACAAATCACTAAATACTGCGTGTAAAGACTAAATACTGGTGGAAAAAGACAAAATACTGCTGGCAGATGATATTTTCAATGTAGACGACTAGAAACTACTAATAAAACACTTGACACTGCTTGCAAAACACTAAATGTAACTGACACAAGACTATATACAGCTGGCAGAAGACATTTTCAATGTAGAAGATTAGAACCTGTTAATACAATAGTTTACACTATCTGTCAAACGCTATATACTCTAGGGAAAAGATTAAATATAGCTAAAAGAAAACATTTTCAATGCAAAAAGCTAAAAACTGATAATAAAACATTTAGCATTGTTGTAAAGCACTGAATGCTGTTTGATAATAACTAGACACTGCTGGCAGAAGACGATTTCAACGTAGAAAACTGTAAACTATTAATAAAACACTTGATATCGCATGAGAAACATTAAATATAGCTGATAGAAGACTAGCTACTACTGGCAGAAGTTTAGATCCTACTGGCAGATGACCAGATATTGCCGAAAGAAGACATTTTCAATGTAAAAGGCAGGAAGATAATAATAAAACACTTGACACTGCTTGCAAAGTACTAAATACTGCTTGCAAAAGGCTAAATGCTGCTTGAAATAGACTAGATACTACTGATAAAAGACAAAATACTGCTGGCAGAAGACATTTTCAATGTAGACGACTAGAAACTACTAATAAAACACTTGACACTGCTTACTTAAAAGTAATTAAGTTAATTAAGTAATTAAAATTATAAACTTTCTTACCTTATTTTATACCGACATTCCGGATCTAATGTTAATTGAACATAAGCTCCAGTATTGTCATTATCATATGGTTTTGAAGCAAACAATCTCAACACCAAAGGATCTTTGTCGACCTCCCTAATCATAAAAAAAAATTATTATCATACAAAATGCTTAGATATTGAGCTTACGTAAAATGATGATGATAACTTTCCCCGCTCCAAGGACTCACAACAGTAGCCGTTGTATGGTAAATATTACCATGACATTTAACCGGTTCAACATGCAACAAAAAAACTTGCATGATATGCGTTAATTTTGGAAAATCGAGCTGATAACGGATCGCTTTTTCAATCGTTTCTTCAACAATAACCTGTTTCTTCAACGTTAACCGTTGCATGAATTGATTTGGTAATTTTACCTCAACCCTTCTTTGGTTATTCTCGAAAATATCAACGTGTAAAGTAATCGGATCGGAAGTTATTGGAATTTTAACAATGACGTGACTAAAGGCGGGATATTTTTCTTGTAAAGCGTGAAGATTTATATCAAAAGTGCGACGTTTTTGTCGTTTTGACGGTGCTATTAACGATAAGTGAGATAAATGTTTTCCGTGGGAGCTAAAAATTTATAAATAAAAATGTTGATTCAATTTTAATTGTGAAAAGTACCAAACACGACTATTTCCTTGAATCTCCGAAGCCGAACAAACATAAACCCAATCGATCGTTTTTAAATTAATCGCCATTAACGATAACATTTCGTGTTTGGGGTTATGAAATAGCCGGATCATGTAATATTTAACGTTTTTTGTTCCTTCGATTAATTTGATCGAGTACTGACGTGGTAAATACTCGATCCATTCTCCGTTTGTATCAATCGTTGCTTTTATTTCGTATCTATCTCGAAATTTCGTTTTAATTCCTGAGTTCTAAAATGATTTTTTTTTAATTAAAAAAATTAAATTTATTAATTATTTTTACCGTTAATAAGTTATTTTCAAAAACGTTCCTCACGTAATTTTTATCGGTCGATAATTGTTTTGTTTCGTAATCGACACTTTCAAATAAAGCCTTATTAATTACAAGGATTAATTGTTTACACCATAAGATGCATAAATGATCCGTTGATAACCAAGTTTTCGGAACATGAGTTACAACAGCACTTACTCCACTTGATTTCGCCAAATTTGGGCTCACCATAAAGTCGTTGTGACCACCATAAACGCTTACAACTAAACTAGATAGTGTATCGTCGCTCGAAGCAATTTTTGAGTAAAAACGATGGGCGTAGTAATCAAAAACGATGGGGAGTCTTTGATGTGGTGCTGCTAACGTTATTATTAAAGGGATTAAAGTGCTATCTTTACGTAGGGATGTAGCTAAACCTTTCGCAACAATTCCCCCCTTAAAATAAATAATTATTAATCATTAAGTTATGATTAAGTGGGTTAATACCATCGAGTGACCAATTAAAATGATCGAATTAGGCTTCCGATTACCCTTTGGGTACAAATTTAAAATTCGGTGCATTGAATAATTGGCGTAAGTCATTTGATCGTTTAATAAAACTCCGTTTGTCCCGGAAAGTTCTCCGTTAGTATCAATGGTGAAATAATCGAAATGAAACGTTGTTCGTGAATTAATCGATTTTCGAAGCGCCACCGACGCTAATGATCTCACTATAAAAACAACAAATTTAATCATACATATAAATACAGGGTGATTTATAACATACGGAGCAGACTAAAAGGGTATCTAGGTACTTAGGAAAAAATTGAAGACATTCCTTCTAAAAGAAAATATTTATTTGTTTATTTACTTTATTTATTTAGCAAGTATACTACAATCAATGCGAAGAATGAGCTTGCTTTTCTCAAATCGAGGTTGAAATTTTGAAATCGCTACTCTCATTTCTTTTTCTAAATTGATTTGTGATCTGTATTTTGACTTAATTACTGCAACTGCAGAAAAGCAGAAATACGACGTGGCAAAGGGTAAAAGAATCTTCAAAGCGGTAATACTGAGAGTAGAATATTCTTGAGATACGTTGACCCAAAATTGAAACAGTTTGTTTTTGTCGAATCGTACTTTTAGGTTCGTGTCGCAAGATAGTTCTAACAGTTGTTCTTCCTCGGCTGTTGAAAGTGCAAATGGATATCAAAATGCGGTGCTTAATGTTGATAAGTGTTGGATTAATATCAATCGCAAACTTGGCTTCAGATCATGAACAGATTTTTCTTGCTCCTCTTCTATTTCTCTTTTCCTAAACAGCAACTTCTTTTGAAACGCTGCAATTTTATTAGCCAGTTGCAATATAGGTGTTTCATTTCCCTGCAGCGATTTATTAAGAGTATCTAATTTTTCAAATACATCGTTGGAAATAATTCACGAGCACACCCTGTATAATCTGAACGCGTGTGTCTAGTGCAATGAAATTTGGTATGGAAGTAGTACTAAAGTAGTGTAACTTATCCTCACATGGAGAGCGGCGCAACTCTGCTGGGAGAGAATACATCAACAGCGAGACTATCCCCTGTGAGCAGCGCGTACCATAGCTACACGACGTGGCATACAGTCGATAAGACGCTGTATTAAGAAGTCAGTATCTTTAAACTTTTTTTGAGTCAGGATGCGATTTTATCAATAAATACGCATACAACTCGTGAGAATACGTCTTGCCAACCAACGAGAGTTACAATAATAAAGTAAAGATTTTCTTCATAAAGCTTTTGGAAAAATCTTGTCTTATTTTTATGAAGTTTACCACTTTGATAATTACATCCATCACAATATTTAATTCAGGTGATATATTTTTTGCAGCCAGAGCCTCTCTATGTATGATACAATGTGTACATTTTGAATTTGGATCCTTGGTTTTAATGAGAGCATGCTCCATATTAAACTGACATCGAACTGTTATCTTGTTCCATGTATGAATCTATAGCCGTAAACAACTCGCAAATCTTCCTGGTAGCAGTCATTTTTTGTAAATTAACAAATCCTCGCACACATTGAGCATCATTATTACTGTCTGTCGCTTCATCCAGCTGAATGGCAAATAAACCAGAAAGTTTTTCCATAATTAATATGTTCAGCTGACTGAACGCTAAACTTTCCTCATTCCTCATCATCACTATCCTTCTCTTCATCATCTCGTCCGCAGGTCTCTTTATACAGGAGTGGTATACTGTAGTGGCAATTTAGTTAACCGTTAAAAATTCCGAAGTTGCCACATTTTCATCACCGTTTATTTCAGCGCTACCAATACAACTTTTAGAAATAAACTCTATTTCTAAACTGTACGTGGCGTCTGAAACAATTTTTTATCGTGGACTCAATTTTCAGTAAAAGATATTGTCGGTAATGACTTTTAAAAGAATTAATTATCTCTTGGTTCATTGGCTGAAGTTTACTGCTTGTTTTCAGTGGCATAAAGATCAACTGGATTGAATTTTGTATTAGGGATGCTCGGAAGAGCAGGGCATCTTTTCTTATTTAATTCTATATCCCATTCGTCATGTCATTTAGAATTGGCATAATATTTTATAGGTAATGTGTGAACGTTTTTAAAACACCTCGGATTTTTCGCACTATACATTATTATATAAAATTTTATTAGGAGTAAGTTTATAAAATAAACCTGTCTCATCACCTTCTCTATGGCTTATCATGGACTACTGCCAGCCATCGCCATTGTATAGAGGGGTGAAGCGGCCATAAGTAGTGAATAATGGTGATCATTATCAATCATTGCTTAACCATTTCGGTCGTCAACAGCACCTGTTGCTTACAGTGGTCCATTAGGTAGGCCATCTAGACTACACCAGTGTATGGCGACCATTTTAATGGTCCATCATGAGCCATAGTGAAAAGGGGCCATTAAACTTACTCCTAATTGTTGGTACAATTGTGGATATTCAGTTGTCGACGATTTTTAGATGTACTGCTGCTGATTCCTCGACTATTGTACCGCTACAAACGTTATTTCCATCGTTCTATCCAACTTTCAGTACATTCGAAGTCATCTTGTAACTTTTGACCGAATTCCGTTGCTTTTAAGCTTAACATTTTCGAACAGACTCTTTCATTTTGGTAGCGTTTATGCGTAAACCATTTTAATAAAGTCTACATCATCGTGATTATGTTTTCGGATTTTTTTAATACTACTTTCCAGTCTCTCATTTTATTAAACAGTCAATACACTGATAACACAAAGAATAAAAAAGAAGTTAACCGTAGAATTGTTTCAAAGTCCAACAATGTTACGTCGCGTGTCTCAAGCCAGTATCGAGTATTTTTTGTGATTCCCCGGTAGGTAAGAAAAATATCATGGCGCCATCTTTTAAAAAATAGCAGAATCAAACCGGAAATCACTCAAAAAAAGGTAAGCGTTCGTTATAACCGGAATTTCGTTACAACCTGCTTACACTGTATTATTTAAACTAACAAAACCACTAAAACAATAAATTGTCTAGTTTTGCAGCTCCTTTAAAAATGAGGACGGCGTTGACAAGTATTTTAATTGCTCTTTACTGAATATAAGCGTTTCTCATAAATGGACATTAAATTATTAAAAAAATTAACATGCAATATCTATGTAACCATTAAGTTTTAAAAAACCATTATTAAGAAAATTTTACCTCAAGTACCTACCCTATTTGTCTGCTCTGTATATTATAAATCACCCTGTATATAATTTATAATCACCTTGCTTATAAGAACCAGCATTTCCAGGAATAAATAAAACCGGAATACCATCAAACTGCATATTTCTCGATTTTTGCGTTAACCTACCTTCGCTATAAGCGTATAAAGAATACTTTTTAAAATACTGATCTTCAGGAACGGATATTCTCTGCGAAAAAGTAAATTAGATTAAAACGAAATTGAACGGTTATCGATGCTTACCACGAATTGGGGGTATTCGAACATATAGGTCATCTCGCATTTGTTAGGTTCGAAATCGGAGAGAAACATTAATAATCCATAAATAAAACCGATCGTACATAGTATAGAGATGAGAATAAATCCGTTTATAAATTTACCCATTTTTATGATTGACAACTTAACCTCAAAAATCGTAAATACGATTTTTTCAATTAAATTCGAGTTTATCTGGTAAAAAGTAAATGTGATTAACGCGTTACGCACCCATTAAAGATTTTATTGGCATAAAATCAATATTTTACGTTAAATTTAGGGAATTTGTAGATTTACATAGGAGATTTTGAGCGTTTTGACATATGACAGTTTAAATTTATGTTGGCAATGCTGGAAATTTTAAATAAAATAAACATAACCTTAATTTAAAAAATTAATTATTATAACTTTCATTAATAAATCAAAATCTAACAAGTTAAAATAGCGACATTAATTTCTTTAACCATTTTGACTCTCCCCAACATTTTCTCCAAAGGTTCTTTATTCATCGGCATCGTTGAATACCAAACGGGGCTATCGGGGACGCACGACCTCTCCGGTTGTAAATAAAAAACGTCGTTTCTTGTTTTAACACTTTCCGGGCACTTTGACAGATAAAATTCGTACAACTTAACCGGACATCGAATCGGGTTCTGTTCGTTTTCTTGTTGCTCGTAAACCTTTCGTTTACGCGGTTTATCCGCGTTTTGAGGGGGATAAAATCTTAATAAAACGTTTCTTGATCCCGGTTGACTCGGATGTCTTTTCCAATGCTTCATTATGTGGGAAAAACTTAGTTGGAAGTGTTCCTCGACGGTGGTTAAACCGAAATGTTTAGTGTTAAAAAACATTAATGTGTTTAATAGAACTAAAGGGGAGTGGGCCCCTAATTGTTTGCATTCCCATAAGTGTTCTTCCTCAACTCTTGTTACTATGTATTGAGACTCGTTGTAGAGGAGGGAAAATTTTTGGCAAACTTCTTGGAGACAATCGGTGAATTTCTCGTAAAATGAGTCGCAAAAAATGTTGTCGATTCTCCCATTTTCATAGAGATATTGTTGTATTCCTAAACATAGGTAATAAATTGTATCGGGGGCGTATTCGGAGCCGTTTGGTTTACGGACTTCTTTCACGAATAAACACAAACAATAATTTAATTCGTCTGAGGTTGTGTGTAAAATTTCGGTTTTAAATTTTTTTTTCGATTTGTGTTCGTTATTTTTTATATTAACCCATTGCTTCCAAGCGTTAACCCCAAAAGTATATTTTAGGCACATATTAGCGTCGGGTTTATCCTCGCTCGATTTTTTTTTGCTCTTATTTCTCGCTTTATTATCGACGATTGAATCAATCCTTTGGGAATCGTCATCAGTTTGGGATTGCGAAGCTTCTAAATCGTCGCTCTCATCGAAATCGGACGCCATTTTTAGTGCCATTTGAATGACGTCTTCGCCGAAATTCCCTTGGACCTCTTCGTCTTCTTGGACATCCTCGGTTTTTGGTTCTCCGATTATTTCCCCGTCGCTTTCTGAGTCGGTGGGAGCTTGCTTTTCATCGGCGACTATTTCGGCCATCATTAATAGTTCGGCTTCGAGGGGATTCGCTGGAGTTTTATTTTTGATTCGGTTAATTTCTTTTTGGATGCCTTTGAAGGAGTTTCGCGTTGTTGGGATAAAAATTGGGACGGGGATTGGGATGGGGAGAGGAAACGGGCAAGGAACTGGGAAAGAAAACATGGGTAAAGGGGTTGGGACATAAATCGGAACGGGGATTGGGACGATTATTTTGTTGGATGAGCAGTCCGTTTGAGTGCTTTTATTCGATTCTTTTACGCGGCAACTAATCGCTTTTGTAACTAAGTTGGGTTTGCACATAGTTGCAACATTTCTTTGTATTGGAATAGGGTGGGGTTTAATTACAACGATTTGTTTTACTTTATTTAACTCAATCTCAGGTTGAGTATTTAAATTATCTTTGAACCGCCTTAAACATAGCGCAGAACAAAAGTTGTGGATAACATTATCAATCGTTCTGATATGGAATTGTGGGTGGCAATTTAATTTGCAATGATCACACTGCATTTCTGCCCCAATTTTTGATGATATCTTAATTTCATAGCAATTTAACGAACAAATCGTGAAATTCTCCCCAGAAAATATTACAGTAATCATATCAAAATCATATTTTTTAACATTACAAGTTTTACAATGAACTATTTTCCTATTAGTTGCAATAAACAATTTTTTGCAATCCTCAGAGCACAAATCATGCTTCTTGTCCAAAAACCAAAACGAATAATCTAATTTATCAAAATTAAAACACTTTTTACAAAATTCGCATTGAATTGGACAAACATTATTGACATATTTGTAAGCTAAGAAGCAAGGGTCGCCGCAAAATCGATAAATTCGACCATTATTATCATAAACAACGTTCTCATTTTTTTGCACTTTGCAAACTGCGCAAATCGCTTTTTCTTTGACGCCTTTTGAGACGTTATTGCAAAGTAATGAGCATAATCCATGGAATGTATTGTCTGATACGATCGCTTGGCAAACTGTACAAAACATTTGGCCCCTTTTGTGCTCCCATAAACAGCTATTTTTGCAAAATTGTTTTATTTCAGTTCCAAAACGAACGCAATACTTTCCTAATAACGTTTCGGGGACTTCTAATTTGCATTGATAACAATTCGAGCCCAATTGACGCTGAAAATCTCCAAGACAATCCTTCGTACAAAAATTCATGCAGTTATAATTAAAATATAAAATTGTTGAGATTGGTTTGTTACAAAAAGTGCAATTATTATCGTTTTCTTTACCTGATTCATCAGAAACGACAGCGAATGTTCGTACTCGTAAATCACGAATTATTAATTTCCCAGCTTTTTTCTCTTTTAAAACTTTTAAACAGTTTTCATTGCAAATGTAACGTTTTTTCTCGCTTATTGTACAAGAATATTTTGGAACTTCTTTTTTATTACATTCCATACATTCCTTGTAATCTTCTTCATTAATTTTTGTTACAATATATTTCTCATCGTCATCATCCTCTTCATTCCCTTCTTCATCCGGTAAAATACACTCCTCATCACCTTCAATTTTAGCTTCCGCCCCTGCAATCGGATCTTGTTCTTCAACAACAATCTCATTTTTTTCAATATCATTTTTATCCATTGTTACAAATTCAGTTTTTGTCTCATCTTTTACCTCTTCCAAACACTCTTTATCTAATTCATTTATATTCTCAGAGTTTTCTTCAATATTCTTTTCACTATCTATATCCATTTCATGAGATGCATTATCTAGGTTATGTTGTACATTTTGATCGGTTTCATCTTTCGATTCGGATACATTTAAAGTTGAATCTGAACAGGTTGGAACCTGCTCATCCATTTTATAAACGTTGTGTAAAGCTTTTAGTTTCAATTACCGCTTATTTTTAATTTTAATAAATAAATTACGGAATTTTAAGTGCACCACAATTAATATGAAGTTAGGCACAAAGCCATTTTTCTAAAAGTGTTTATAAGTGAAATTAGTTAGTTATTTAAGAATTAAATCTTTATTAATTTAAATTAATCATTTTATTTATAAAAATAATAATTAAACAATTTATTAAATAATTATCTTATTGTTAACCTCAAAAATATATTTGACATTCAATTATGACATATTCATATATAATTAAATTTTTCTCTTATTATTTTATTATATTATATTATATATTATGCCAATTTTTCTATATAATACATAAAATTCAGTTTCAAACATATTCATTAATATATTAATATTAATTATCCATTAATTTTAAATAAACTAAAAATCTCACTAGATGGCGCTAATTTTTTATCGAAATAATCGAAACTCTCAACAAGTAAAAGTGAGGTTATATTTAAACCGGTGATGAATTTTAAGTTTTTACGCCCTTCTTTGATTAGATTTTATTGCACAACATCAAAAATCAATCCGTTAAAAGTCCCAAAAAGAATTTTAGTACCCCAAAAACCAGTTAAAAGTAGAATAGATCCAAATAAGCTCCCCCAAAAAACTCTAATCACCGCCGAAACCATCGCGTTGTTAGAACGCCTCTCTTTAGTTGATTGTGCGAATCGTGAAGGAATTAAAACTTTAGAGGCTGCTATTGAGTTTGCGGATCAAATTTTGCAAGTAAATACGCAAGGGGTTGAGCCATTAATAACTGTATTAGAAGACAAGTAATTTTCTTGTTTTATTTAACCTCTTTTTTTTAATATTAAATATTTTTAGGCCTTTACAAGTGAGGGATGATAAGGTTACAGAAGGAAATTGTAGGGAATCAATTTTATCTAACTCATCTTTGCTGGAAGACGAATACTTTGTAGCACCTCCTGGAAATATTCCATTAGAAGCACGAGAAGATCTCCTTCATGAACAGCAACAAAATAAAACCTCTCCTGGAGATAAAAAACGTTTTGGAAGTATGTGAGAGACATGGTTTCTTGCAAAAGTTGGGTCAATACTTAAAAATCGCCCCAATGGGTAGTTTGTTACTACATAACCTCAAAAATGAATTTTATCGAAACATGGTTATCAATAAAGATTACACAGTTTTTCCAAATGAATCAAATTCATTCAAAAAATCGTTTTTATATGCCAAAGAAACTTGTTCGAGTCAATTTCCGTTTGGAATTGTAGAGAAAATCCTTGATAAAACTTCAAATGATGGTTTTTTAGGTTATTTTGATAATAACGAAGTTATAAAATGCAACGTTTTTGTGGCGCCTCAATTAGCAACGGCATTTTATCATCAATTACAAAGGCAAAGAAGAATGTGGTGGAGAATTGTAAGAATTAAATTATTTAAAAAAAATTTATTTAATCGATTTTTAGTTTTCAGCTTCACCCGGACGTTACATTTTAAGCGATATTCAAAACAATGATGTTTTTCAATCGGTTGAAATCAAAGCTGAGTATCCGTGGGGTTTGGAATTGATTGAAAAGATTAATTTGTTTAAAAATTTGCACCCCGAACTCAACAAAGATTTATTTCAAGGGTCGATAACTCCTTGTTACATTACAAGTGAAATTTCACTCCAATCGATGTTAATAAACACTTTATGTGATGCTTATGATGCTACGTTACATCAAAATACCTCGAGGATTATGTTTAGGTTCCATCGTAAATTAGCTCCTTACAAAATTAGTTTTTCTATTTCTAAATCGCAAAGTATGTTTGAAACGTTTAATTAATTGATTAATTTAGTTTTTAATTTTTTTAGAAAATGCCTCAACTGAAGATTTGTTACAATTAGCGATTTTTATTTCGAAACAATTGCGAGAACACAATATATCTTGCCTTTTATTACCAAAAGCTGGAAAAGATAGTTTAGAGGAACAATGGATGTTTTATGATTGCTTAGGAATTCCGTACAATGTAATTTTAACTGATGAGACATTAAAAAATGGGATTGTTCAGTTACGGAGTAGGGATACAACATTAAAGGTATAATATATTCGTTTTATTAGATAAATTTGATTTATTTAAGTATATTTTAGGAACAAATTCATGTGGGGGAGTTACCTAAATACGTTGAACAACTTTTTAAAAATTATTAGTTAAAATTAGGGGAATAAAAATTTTTAAGGAAAAATAATTTGAGTTATGCAACCCAAATTGCACAAATGTCACAAAATTAGGTTAAATTATTTTTATTAAAATCAATCAGTTATTTCAGAAATCCAATTGATATACGCCGAAACTCGGGTATATATCGAATTATTACCCGAGAATCACAAATATTTTATTTTGTCTATTTTAAATCTAAAATGTTTTATACTTTGCAAGCTTTTCCTTCCTCAACTGTTGATATGGCGCAAAGTTCCCCGTTTAATGATTGAACATTTTTTTTGGGAGGCTTATTTCATCTTTTACCAATTTCTGCCCAATCTTATTTTTTCTTTTTGGTTTTATATGAGCTTATTTCTTTAACTATCAGGCAATTTTTAATGTTGAACCTTTCTGCTCAGTCTCTTTTTTCGTTTTAAAGTCTCTTTTATCTTCCTCCAACCTCAATTATGTGGGGGAGATACCTAAATACGTTGCACAACTTTTTAAAAATTATTAGTTAAAATTAGGGGAATAAAAATTTTTAAGAAATAATAATTTGAGTTATGCAACCCAAATTGCACAAATGTCACAAAATTAGGTTAAATTATTTTTATTAAAATCAATCCCAGTTATTTTAGAAATCCAATTAATACGCGCCAAAACTTGGGTATATATCGAATTATTACCCGATAATCACAAATATTTTATTTTGTCTATTTTAAATCTAAAATGTTTTATACTTTGCAAGCTTTTTTTTCCTCAACTGTTGATGTGGCGCAAAGTTCCCCGTTTAATGATTAAACATTTTTTTGGGAGGCTTATTTCTTGTTTTACCAGTTTCTGCCCTATCTTATTTTTTCTTTTTGGTTTTATATGAGCTTATTTCTTTAATTATCAGGCAATTTTTAATGTTGAACCTTTCTGCTCAGTCTCTTTTTTCGTTTTAAAGTCTCTTTTATCTTCCTCCAACCTCAATCATGTGGGGGAGTTACCTAAATACGTTACACAACTTTTTAAAAATTATTAGTTAAAATTAGGCGAATAAAAATAATTTGGGTTATGCAACCCAAATTGTACAAATGTCAAAATTAGGTTAAATTATTTTTATTAAAATCAATCTCAGTTATTTCAGAAATCCAATTAATATGCGCCAAAACTCGGGTATATACCGAATTATTACCCGATAATCACAAATATTTTATTTTGTCTATTTTGAATCTAAAATGTTTTATACTTTGCAAGCTTTTTTTTCCTAAATTATTGATGTGGCGCAAAGTTCTCCGTTTAATGATTGAATATTTTTTTAGGAGGCTTATTTCTTGTTTTACCAGTTTCTGCCCAGTCTCATTTTTTCTTTTTGATTTCATTTGAGCTTATGTCTTCTATTATCAGTCAATTTTTAATGTTGAACCTTTCTTCTTAGTCTCTTTTTTCGTTTTCCAGTCTCTTTTCTCTTCCTCCAACCTCAATCATGTGGGGGAGTAACCTAAATACGTTGCATAACTTTTTAAAAATTATTAGTTAAAATTAGGCGAATAAAAATAATTTGGGTTATGCAACCCAAATTGTACAAATGTCAAAATTAGGTTAAATTATTTTTATTAAAATCAATCTCAGTTATTTTAGAAATCCAGTTAATATGCGCCAAAACTCGGGTATATATCGAATTATTACCCGATAATCACAAATATTTTATTTTGTCTATTTTAAATCTAAAATGTTTTATACTTTGCAAGCTTTTTTTTCCTCAATTGTTGATGTGGCGCAAAGTTCTCCGTTTAATGATTGAATATTTTTTAAGGGGGCTTATTTCTTGTTTTACCCGTTTCTGCCCAGTCTCATTTTTTCTTTTTGATTTCATTTGAGCTTATTTCTTCTATTATCAGTCAATTTTTAATGTTGAAGCTTTCTGCTCAGTCTCTTTTTTCGTTTTAAAGTCTCTTTTATCTTCCTCCAACCTCAATCATGTGGGGGAGTTACCTAAATACGTTGCACAACTTTTTAAAAATTATTAGTTAAAATTAGGGGAATAAAAATTTTTAAGAAAAAATAATTTGAGTTATGCAACCCAAATTGCACAAATGTCAAAAAATTAGGTTAAATTATTTTTATTAAAATCAATCCCAGTTATTTTAGAAATCCAATTAATACGCGCCAAAACTTGGGTATATATCGAATTATTACCCGATAATCACAAATATTTTATTTTGTCTATTTTAAATCTAAAATGTTTTATACTTTGCAAGCTTTTTCTTCTTCAACTGTTGATGTGGCGCAAAGTTCTCCGTTTAATGATTGAAAATTTTTTTGGGAGGCTTATTTCTTGTTTTACCAGTTTCTGCCTAATCTTATTTTTTCTTTTTGGTTTTATATGAGCTTATTTCTTTAATTATCAGGCAATTTTTAATGTTGAACTTTTCTGCTCAATCTCTTTTTTCGTTTTCCAGTCTCTTTTATCTTCCTCCAACCTCAATCATGTGGGGGAGTTACCTAAATACGTTACACAACTTTTTAAAAATTATTAGTTAAAATTAGGGGAATAAAAATTTTTAAGGAAAAATAATTTGAGTTATGCAACCCAAATTGCAGAAATGTCAAAAAGTTAGGTTAAATTATTTTTATTAAAATCAATCCCTTATTTTAGAAATCCAATTAATATGCGCCAATACTCGGGTATATATCGAATTATTACCCGATAAACACAAATATTTTATTTTGTCTATTTTAAATCTAAAATGTTTTATACTTTGCAAGCTTTTTCTTCCTCAACTGTTGATATGGCGCAAAGTTCCCCGTTTAATGATTAAACATTTTTTTGGGAGGCTTATTTCTTGTTTTACCAGTTTCTGCCCAATCTTATTTTTTCTTTTTGGTTTTATATGAGCTTATTTCTTTAATTATCAGGCAATTTTTAATGTTGAAGCTTTCTGCTCAGTCTCTTTTTTCGTTTTAAAGTCTCTTTTATCTTCCTCCAACCTCAATCATGTGGGGGAGTTACCTAAATACGTTGAATAATTGTTTAAAAATTATTAATTAAAATTAAGGGAATAAAAATAATTTGAGTTATGCAACCCAAATTGCACAAACGTCAAAAAATTAGGTTAAATTATTTTTATTAAAATCAATCCCAGTTATTTTAGAAATCCAATTAATATACGCCGAAACTCGGGTGTAGATCGAATTATTAAACCCTATTTTACAAAATGGGAGTAAAGCCAAACGGCTTGTAACCCCAATTTGAATCAATTTCCCGTTTTTTATAATCGTAAGAGGACCTCCACTATCACCCTATAATCACAAATATTTTATTTTTTCTATTCTAAATCTAAAATGTTTTGTACTTTGCAAGCTTTTCCTTCCTCAACTGTTGATGCGGCGCAAAGTTCCCCGTTTAATGTTTGTTTATTTCCAAAACATTTTTTTGGGGGGCTTATTTTAAATGTAGCCTTTCTTAATCGTTGTGATGTGTGGAATTGATCTAAAATAATTGTTATAAAATCACAATTATTGAATATTTTGATTATTTTTACCAAAAAAATACCATCGATAATCCCAAATCCCGTTAAATAAGCCGTTTTTCCTTCCAAAGTTTCCTTATTATCCAAATGGAGGCGAACCAACTTCACAAAACGGTTCAATTTCGCGGGTTTCGTTAATTTTAACAAAGCCAAATCGCTTTTATCTAATTTTAGATAATTCGGGTGCATTTTTGTTGATTCTATCCTTATTATTTGACCTCCACGTCCGTTTCTATAAACGCTCCCCAATGCTACATAAGTTTTTTTTCTGCGAATCAAATTAAATGAAAATTAATTTTAATTAAGAAAAAAGAGATATTTACGGATTTAATTTAGGTGAGTCTAAATCGATTTGTACGCAATGAGCTGCTGTTAAAATCCATATCGGGTGAATTAAGCTGCCTCCGCAAAAAGTATGATATCCTTTTTTATCGGGCAATCGTTCCATGAGGGCAGCTTGAAACGGAAAAGCTCCCGGACGGGGTTCCACCGGTTTTGCATTACCCTAAAATTCGAAATAAAAGTCGAAAATGATGAAAATCGTTTCATAAAAGAAAAAAAGTGGAAGAAAAAACGAGTGAGTATAAAAGAGTTAACTACGTTAACGATGCTCGCTTCTATGGCACACGCGATTTTCACGAAAAATGCATGGAAGAGCCATCGGTAAATGCGCGGTACCATTTTTTCCATGAAAAAAATTTTCGGGAACACTGTCAAACCGGTTCCCAATACTGCGTTTTTGTATTTTTTTACGTTTTTTTCTATGTTGCATGCGGTACTTGCTGCCGGCACGGATGTTGTTGTAGATGATAATCTCTCTCTACGGGCCTGGTAAAAATCCCGTCCAAGGCCGCTATTGTACGTAATAATACCCACCGAAACGGATATTTCCAATTTTTAATACGAATTCATTCTCAGTTTACAGTTTGAATTCCGAGGATTTTTTTTATTTCAATTCTCACCATTGTTTGATCGCAATATTTTGTATTTTGTTTGCGTTCCTTTTAATTCCTTTATAATTCCATTTATAGTTTTTAATATTAATTTAATACAAATGTATGCTGATGATACTCTTCAAATATTAATCAATCGCATTTAGCCATAACATAATAATAATAATAATAATGTTTATTAACCCATAGCACCATTATAAACCCCAATAACAAAATACTTAAAAACTAAAATAAAACCAAAATGAAATGCCATGAGTTAAAAAGGACCACGTCAGCATTCCCAGTGGGTCAGCTGTTTTTCATTGGTCCTTGTTCTACATTTTGTATAAATAAACTTAAACTTCATGACGGCAAACGGAAATAGAAAGACTAGTTGTTACCAAAAACTTAAAATTAATACCAATTATACATAATAGTAAGACTAGCTTTCTAGTAAATAAGAAGAGCTAAGACAAGGAAAGGAGAAGAAACACGAAAAAACAATAAAAGAAAGAAAAAAGAGAAAAAAAAAAAAAAAAAAAAAATTGATTCATATGTCATCACAATTCTGCTCATTCAATAACTCAGACCTATATATCACCCTGAAAACCCGCTCAGATTCCTGCAAGACCGAAAGTGGACAGTTATTCAACAAATTAGGCACACAATACGTGAAAGATCTTTTAAAAATTTCCAGTCGATGCTGGGGTATTGTTAACGTATGTCTGTGCCTAATATTAATATTATGAACGTCTGTTCGAAATTGAATTTTGTTGTATAAATATGGTGGACATTTGGTAGTCAGAACCTTATGGTAGAGGCAAGCAGAGTGAAGGGCCCTACGACGTGACATATTCAACCAGCCCACCCATTTTAAGGTGTATGAGATACTCGCATATTTCCTAATGCCATAAATAAAACGTAAGCACGCATTCTGAACTCTTTGAATTCTTACCTTGTGAATATTATCAATACAAGGGCCATATAATACATCACCGTAATTAAAGATCGAGAGAACCAGGGCGTCACACAAGCGTATCCGCAGTTGCTGTTCCAATAAATGCCTACTATTATAGAGCAATTTTAACGCTGCATATGCACGACGCAGTAGACTACCAATGTACGAGTCAAATCTAAGTTTACTGTCAATAATGATACCCAAATTCCTTGCACTTTCAGCAACCTGCAAAACATCAGAGTCAATTTTCAAGCTCAACCCATCCCTGACTTCGTCCAAAACACCCCGGCTCCCAAAGACCATCACCGATGACTTAGATGGATTTATCCTTAAGCTGTGCTCATTAGCAGTATTGACCAAGGCCTTCAAGTCAGCATTAATATTACTTTCAGCCACAGCTAGATTTGATGTTGAAAAAGTGTAGTATAATTGAATATCATCAGCATACATCTGCGCAGTACAGTGCTTTACAGCCAAACACAGTTGGGAAGTATAAATTGAAAACAGAATTGGGCCAAGAATAGAACCCTGCGGCACACCCGACACGACCTCAACTTGTGCAGATAACTCACCATTACAAGCTACTCCCTCGACACCATCTTGACCTCCAGCAACATCTTTTCCATCATATATTAACATCCTATCTCAACATCATCGAAAATCTTCTCTGCATAGTATTGGACGTCGTAAATATTAATCTTGTTATTTCTGAACATCGGATCTAAAATCATCCTTGATGTCATCTAATCTTAGACTTATTTGTTTAGAGCTCTATTCTTTCTGTCTTTCTACCTAGTCTTATTTTCCTCTTTCAGCCTCATTCAAAACTACTGTGAATCAAAACTGATAAATCTTACAGCTACTTCTCTACGTAGTCGTCGTTCTGATTAAATCATTTGTTGTATCACCAATTTTTCAACACCCTCGTCATGGAAGCGATCTGCGGCTCGTTGTTTGAGAGACAGTGTGTGAGCAAAGAGATGGAAATTGGAAGTGGCGGAGAGTAGATTTGTTATAGCTGCAGTATGCGGCATTATCATGGAGAAGTACTATGCCTGATGTCAATATTGTTTCTCTGTAATAATAAGCGTTCTATTGTTTTTAATATTTACAATTTTCTCTTTAATACATTCTACTATATATATATATATATATATATATATATATATATATATACACCTCCAGGCCTGTTCGCCCCTATCACCTCCCTCATCCATCTTTTGCCCTCGCCCCTCTCTCCCAAAATCTGTTTCCTATCCATTGCATCCTCCTACACCTCACTACACCCTCTCAGCATGTGTTCCAGTGTCTCCCAATTCTCTTCCATTGCCACAGCGGAATCTGGCCACCAATCATCATCCCCCTCCGTTAACAAATATTTCGGCCGTCCCTCTGTCACTGTCTCCCCATACCTTTAATTGTATCTCCCTTCTCGTATCTGTGACCTTCTTTTCTGCCTCTGTATATCCATGTCCCTATCTCTCACCTCTTTCCACTCTTGTGTTTTCGATCCCAATTAGTGAGTATCCCACTCTTCTATAATATTCTTCCCTGTCTCTTTGCCTATAGATCAGCCTCTCCAGCACTCTCCCAGGATCCTGCAATGCGGTCTTGCTTTTATCATCTCCTCATAGTTCACTATATACCCTGGAGTCTCCCTTGCCAACCCTAGTACCCATCTTCAATATCGTGTTTATATATCCTCCAGCAAACTTTGTTCTTTCTTTCTTTTCCTAAAACCTTTCTTTTTCCCACGTCCCTCCCGACCTTATTACTTCACTTGCTCTATCTCTCTTCCTTGCCACCTCCATTCCTCCTTCCTTCTTCTCCTCCCATATTGTTTCTCTGTACATATTACACATTATACGATAAATTGAGAAAGTCATGCAGAAATCGAATTTGGAGTCTCTATTGTTTGACTTGGTACAGCGTTGTAAGATTGTCACGAGATTATTGCTACTATTACCAGCTTTTTTCCAACCTTTCTTCTTTCTGCTAAGAGGTACTGCGCATATTCTTTTATTTTCAGTCTCTGTCATGTCTTCTTTTCTCTTTCTAAACTCAGTACAGCCTATTTCCAGTGTTTTTCATGTCTGCTTAGTGTATTTCTAGTATTACAGCCTTTTTCTATTTGTTCTCCTTTCCGACCAGAGTCATTCCTGTATTCTGTCCAGGTCTCAGGCTGAGGGGAGCGGCCCCTCTCGTCATGGCCACATATAAGATCTATTGTATCTTTAGCCCTTTAAAAGTTAAATGTAGGTCCTTAATGAACCTTAGTATTGCTCCAAGGTCTTGTTCCTTTATGTCGGTAGGTGTCAAAAGAGCTTTACTGAAAATTTTGTGTCTTAAGCGGCCTTTGGCAACGAAATTACACAGTATATGTTCAGCCGTTTATTTGTCTTAGGTGGCTTTTTTATGGTCTACAACCAGTTTGGAGTCCAATGAAGGGCAACTCAGCATAGAGTAGCATTATTGCCCCTAGCGAGTTTTCTGATCAGTGCCGAATCACACGTATAGGCCTGAATTGCCTTTAGGGCGTATGTTGAACCTTTTTGTGCAGTCTTTTTTTCTCTTTTCAGTCTCTTTTATTTTTTGCCAACCTCAATCCAACCTATTTCTGCTATTACCAACATTTTTGTAGTCTTTCTGTCAAGTCTCTTTTTGCTGTTTTCAGTCTCTATTCAATCTTTTTCTTATTCCAGTCTCTTTTATCTTCCTCCAACCTTAATCCAGTCTATTTTTGTTATTACCAACCTTTTTGTAGTTTTTTTCCTTTCTATTCAGTCTCTGTCAAAACATTTTTTTCTTCTATTACCTATTCCCAGTCTCATTTTCCTCTTTCCAACCTCAGTCCAGTGTACTACTACTATTATCAGTCTTTTACCAATCCTTCTCTTTTCAATGAAGTCTCTTTTTTCTCTCTCCAGACCCAATTTAGTCTATTTCTGCTATTACCAACTTTTTTCCAGTCTTTGTCCAAATATTTGTTTCTATTACCAGTCTCTGCTCAGTCTTCTTTACCTCTTTTCAACCTCAATCTAGTCTTTTTCCAATCTTTCTCCTTTCTGTCAAGTCCCTTTTTGCTCTTTCCAGTCCCTATCGTATCTCGTTCTTCTATTACCGGTAGAAGAAATCTATTTTTGCTCTCTCCAGACCCAATTCAGTCTATTTCTGCTATTATTAACACTTTTCCAGTCTTCTTTGTCTTCCTAGTCTTATTTTCCTCTTTCTAACACCAGTTCATTCTTTACAAGTATTACCAGAGCCTTTCTGCTCAGTCTCATTGTTTTTTCTTCTATTTTTCTTTCTTCTATTAGCAATCTCTTTTCTGCCCAATAAGTTTTTTTCTCTTTCTAATCAGCTCCCTTCTTTCTGTTGTGTATTTTTTGTTCTTTCTAGTCGTTTTGGCTCAGTTTCAACTGAAAGAAATTATATAGTAATCAATTAAATATATTAACTTAATTAATTTTTCGATCAAATTCTTATTCGTAATTAAATACCCCGACACGAATTGAAATTGAAATTTGAATAATTGCGATTGAGTGAATGCATGTTCGTAGATGCGAAAACCATAAATGCTGGCTCCTGTCTGGTGTACATTTATCGGTATCGATTGTGGAGTGAGGTTGAAAAATTCATTGACAGGGATGCGACGACCATACCACCCCATCCCATCCGATTCCATCGTTTCCCATCATATAGTTGGGTGGGGAAACCTTTTAAAGTCAAACTGACCGAGAAACGTAGGGCTTAATCACGGGAATTTCGTGCCTGGGGAACGCCTTTCGCTTCCGGGTTTTCACCGTAACAGTTTCCGGCGTGGGCTAAGGGGAAAATCACGCCCACACACTCGATACAATCACCCACCCTATTGTCTATATTATAATGAATGGGTTGTTTCTCAGACGATTTTGTGGACTAATAAATACGTGGAAAAGGGAAATAATAAAAGTTGAGTAAAAAGGAAAAAATTATATTTTTGAGGCATTCACCATACAAACATTTATTTATAAATTAATCTCGTAATTTGGTTCTTATTAAAAAAATTTTCTTTAATACATCTAATAACATATAGTACAGCGTGTTAATTAATTATCATATTCGACGTCTTCATTTCAAGTATGCAACCAATTTCACAGTATTCGTATTGCAATACCAATACTGTGATATTGGTTGCATACTTGCAATGACGACGAATTAATTAACACGCTGTATAAATAAGACCTTATTCATTTTCAACATTAAAACATTTATTCCTCTTTCTCATATTAATTTTTTTTTATCACAAATATACAATGGTACATATATTCAACTATCTCCCAGTTTTTCTTAAATATTAAATGTTTACGTACATCATTTATCTCCTTAGTGGTCGCGAATGAAAATCATTGAGTTTGTTTTGGGTTCTTTTTTATTTTAAATTTTCGAAAATATTTTTATCCTTATCTCAGATTTTCTTTTTCGTTTCACATAAAGCTACGTATCTTCAGTTTCATAAAATTGATTATTTACACAAATTTTTTTGCGTTAGATTTTTTTTTGAGTGCTTAAAAAATCTTACAAAGTCTTCTTTAAAATTGTTTTTACTAATAAAACTCTTCTTCAGCCCATCAGATTGTAAATTCATTATTCTTGATTTAATTAACACATACCTAAAACAAAATTGAATTTAATTAGAATCATAATTTAATGATGATTGTGTTTTAGTAGTGTTTAGTGGTAGAAATCAGTATAGAACATGTCTATTCATTATATTGGACGTTGTCACGGACAGGCTTACACAATTGACCGACCGATGTTTGCTTTGCGACCCCTCAAACCACCCTAATCGATGTGCAAAGGGTCATTGACTGTCACGGGATATCGCTTATTATAAATTATATCGATCAATCGTCATCAAGTATCATCGAATGATGTCGTGTGACCTCCTTTCTGTGGTGTCACGGGGGATGCGATTCAGAGCCCCAAAGCGTAATTGATCACCATCTCGATTACAAACGTTTCCTTTAAAAAAATACCCAATTTTTTTAAATTCAATTCGATCAAACCCCGAAACAATCAAAGGGATTAAAAGCGGGGATTAAACGTACTACGTATCCAGTTATTCATTTAAAACATGTTCGTACAGGTCCGATTTGTCGTCGTCAATCGAATCATTTTGACACAAAAATGAAACGGTTTATATTTCTTTCACGTCAATCGCATTTTTATTTAATACGATTTTTAAATGAAAAAATTGAAAATACTTACTAAAATATATATATAATGTTGTTAGAAGAAGTAAACAACTCGTGTGGCTGTTGAATGAGTTGTAAGCTTTACTATCTTGACCTGAAAAATAACAATAATAATTTAAGTAATTTAAAGAAAATTTTCTGTTAAAACAGAAAGATCATCGAGGATGCTCGCGACCGAGGCGCTACATTGGTACAACATTAATCAAAGAATTATCAATTTTCATAGAAGCGTAGCTTAATTTATGACAACATGATTTTTTTGTTAATCTAATTTGCGTTTAAATCAAGTTTTCGAACCTAATTAACCCGAGGTTGCTTGTGGCCGAGGCGCTACATCGACACCATAGTATTGAAAAAAAAATTTTCAAAACCACGTAGTTTTGTTTATGAATTGTTTTATTAAATTGATTTGCTCACTTCAAGTTTTAGGATAAATGATGCACGATTTAAGCTAATTAAGCCGAAATCGCTTGTGGCCGAGGCGCTACATTGTTATGTGATCCCAAAGTAACAAATCTTGTTCTTGAAATATGACTATGAAAATTTCCCAAAGTGTTATCTTTCCAATGAACCGACTCGTTTTGAAAAATAACTTTTAGTTTTTGAGAAAACAATATTTGAAGTTTTGACAACATTTTCGATGTTGCAATTTTCATCGATAATTTTCAAAATTCGCTATAAAATTAATTTCTTGAAGGATTCTTGTGGAAATATCATCAATTATTAATTAAAGTATCCTCTTTTTATTGCAACAAGCCGTTTTGAAAAATCACTTTCAGTTGTTGAGAAATAAATTTTTGAAATGATCGACAATTTTTTCGAAATTTGCAATTTTCGCCGATTAAGTTCATTTCTTGAAGGATCCTTGTAGAATTATCGCCAATTATTAATTAGTATCAAAAAAGTCCAGTGTATTACCAGTTTTTTACCAATCTTTCTCCTTTCTGTGAAGTCTCTTTTTGCTCTATTCAGCCTCTACTCGATTTTTTTCTTGTATTACCAGTCTCTTTTATCTTCCTCCAACTCTAATCCAGTCTATTTTTGTTATTACCAACCTTTTTGTAGTCTTTTTCCCTTCTATTCAGTCTCTGTCAAAACATTTTTTTCTTCCAGTACCGTTTCGTATGAGCAAAGAAATGGAAATCGGAATTAGCGGAGAGTCGATTTGTTATAGCTGCAGTATGCGGCATTATCATGGAGAAGGACTATGCCTGACACCTTCGCTTCCTCGCCCCCATCACCTCCCTCATCCATCTTTTGCTCTCGCCACCCTCTCGCAAAATCTGTTTCCTGTCCATTGCCTCCTCCTTTAGCTCACTACACCCTCTCAGCATGTGTTCCAGTGTGTCCCAATCCTCTCCACACAGCCTACACCACCTCTCCTCATTGCCACAGCGGAAGCTGGCCACCAATCGCTTCTCTTCATCATCTCCCTCCATCAATTTTGGCCGTTCCTCTGTCACTATCTCCCTATACCTTTCATTGTATCTCCCTTCTCGTATCTGTGACCTTCTTTTCTGCCTCTGTATATCTCTTTTTTCTCTTTCTAGTCTCTTTTATCTTCCGCCAACCTCAATCCAGCCTATTTCTGCTATTACCAACATTTTTGTAGTCTTTTTTCTTTCTGTTTAGTCTCTGTCAAAACATTCTTTTCTTCTATTACCTATTCCCAGTCTTATTTTCCTGTTTCCAACCTCAGTCCAGTGTATTACCAGTTTTTTACCAATCTTTCTCCTTTCTGTGAAGTCTCTTTTTGCTCTATTCAGCCTCTACTCGATTTTTTTTTTGTATTACCAGTCTCTTTTTTCTCATTCCAGTCTCTTTTATCTTCCTCCAACTCTAATCCAGTCTATTTTTGTTATTACCAACCTTTTTGTAGTCTTTTTCCTTTTTATTCAGTCTCATTTAGTCTATTTCTGCTATTACCAACTTTTTTCCAGTCTTTGTCCAAATATTTGTTTCTATTACCAGTCTCTGCTCAGTCTTCTTTACCTCTTTTCAACCTCAATCTAGTCTTTTTCCAATCTTTCTCCTTTCTGTCAAGTCCCTTTTTGCTCTTTCCAGTCCCTATCGTATCTCGTTCTTCTATTACCGGTAGAAGAAATCTATTTTTGCTCTCTCCAGACCCAATTCAGTCTATTTCTGCTATTACTAACACTTTTCTATTATCCTCTTTTTAATGCAACAAGCAACCGTTTTGAAAAATCACTTTCAGTTGTTGAGAAATAAATTTTTGAAATTATCGACAATTTTTTCGAAATTTACAATTTTCGCCGATTAAGTTCATTTCTTGAAGGATCCTTGTAGAATTATCGCCAATTATTAATTAGCATCAAAAAAGTTCATTTTGTATCTTTGATCCAAATAAGTTGACATATCTTATCAGCTTTCTTATTAATTTCATTTTTATCGCAATAATGTGGCATATCACTTCAGAATAGCTGGATAGATATACCGGAAAAGCGGATATCCGGCCGAAGGGGATGCCGAATATCCGGATTTTCGTAAAATCACTATCCGTTTCATCATTACCAGAAACCAAACGGTTGAAGTACAATCATCATCATTAGCGCCTATCTCGAGTGACTTATCCGATATACTTCAAAATTATATTTTATGTTAATCATTTTGGGTCGATATTATCGTTTTGTATATTGTTATCTTTGTCCTACGGGATAAGACTCGTGAGCAGAAGTATTCATGAGAGATCTAAGGTACAATTATTATCTTGTTCGAAAATGTATTCGCCAAAATTGTTGGCATTGTTATTCGGTGAACTTGGCTCTGTAGAGGCAACTTTGTTTTCTCCTGGTTAACAGTTAGGCTGACTCTCTTTGCAGCTTATTCCAGTGCGATGAAACATTCTTCCACGTCTCTTATATCATCGTCGTAGACATCATAATAACACAAAAAATGAAAAGATACAACGAAATAGCATCTTCTATTATTACTTTTGATCTCTTTCTTACTCTTGATCATGTATGATTTTGGAGTAAAGTTTTTTATTCAGCTTCTATATGTAGGTTTTTCTGTCTTTTGCACATTTTGGCTAATTCGACGGGCCTTCGCATGCTTTATAGTCTGGTATTGCTTGCGATTGACTTATTCCTCCGTATTAGATTGCAAAGTGCACCTAATATTTTTGTTGCTTAATAGGTGACATTTCCAAGTACATATTTATTTCATGCCTTCATTTTCTCGCTCTAATCCTTCCTTTTCTTCTAACTATGCCAGCAATCGGATTCCATTTAATTTCAGTATCCAGAATTAATCTCATTACCTTTTTCTTTGTAAGCATCTTGCCATGTTCCATCCGCACTGAAATAAAATATGGTGTGATGAGTATTTAATAAAGTAATTAATGAAATTTTCGTCTAGTCGTATAATTGATTTGATTTTGTCAACCTGAAGTATTTTATACTGTGGATGTCAGAATCGATTCCTGCGACACTCAACCAGTAGGCTCTACCCAAAACAATTAAATTTTGAAGCAACCCAACTCACACCCTAAGTAAGTTAACTCATTTCAACCCATCTTATTTAAACCCCACTAGATAGTATTAAAAGCCAAGTATCCTAGAGTTTTAGATGAACGTAGCTTTTGCGCTTCCAATTCCAATGGTCGGTGGGTAGCATAAGTGGAGAAGCGGCCATCTTGTCTAATATGCGCATGCGCTTAGGAGATTAAGGATTGGTGGGGGAACAGGTTATGACGTAGTTTGTGTTATAACTGTTGCATAACCGACTTACATCTCAACGAGTTCGCGCAAATACAATCCAATACAATTGAAAAGAAAACTAAGTCCACCCCAACGCCATTTCAACTCTTCCTTCCCCAATCTTCTTTATTTATTTATTATTTTCTTTGGAAATTCTGCAGGAGTGGTTCAATCCACAACTTGAATTGAATCTTTTTTTTATGATGAGTTTAAAATCAAAGTAAAAATAAGTTCTCCTTGGGCACGATGTCTTAAGTTAAGTTAAGAAGCAGAAGAAACTTTGCAGTCGGAGAAACGTACCTTGAAACTAATTAAAACTCGAAAATACTAATTCGGAACAATCAAAAGCACCGAGAGTCCCCGTAGTTCATCTACAATTAAACTCGGGTGCTGAAGAGAAGGATTTCGAGTCCGGTCCGAAGTCAAAGTTAGCAGGTGGTGACCGTCTTGCAATAGAGGGTCCCTTTTACAAAGCGAACTGCTGCAGTAACTTTGCACTGTATTATTAAACCGGAACTCTCCTCTCTATTTATTCACAAAAACAACATTGTTCTCGTAAACCGTTTCCGCTTCTATAATAATTGTTAACCGGATGTCGTTGATTATTTAACGATTTTTTGAATGATAAATTTAAACGTTTCGGATCAACGAAAATAAAATTTAAGTGCAACAACGTTTTACAACTTGAAGGGCCGTAAATTTCTTCTCATTTTATCGTTTAACACTTTAATTAATTATTAAAAGCCGTTCGTTTTTGAAAGAAACAAAATGAAAGTTTAATTTAAAAAAAATCTTTTACTTTATTTCTTATAAAGTACATCCGTCAGACGAAATTTGAACCTAGACAGAAGTTTAATTGTGTTTTTAATTAGCTCAAATAACCTTTGTTGGTTGCGAGTTTGCAAATGAAAACTTTATCTCTTTTATAACGTGGAGAATTTTTTTAATTTTTAATAAACTCTTTTCCTCCATAATATAGTATTATTTTTATTTTATTTTAATTCAAAAAAGATATACGGCACGTTTCTCTCTTCTCTTATTACGGTACATTAAACCAAAAGACTGTCACATTTTAAAAACTCGGTTTTGATAAAATTTACCGACACAATAAAAACAGTTAAAACAAAAAGCCCGGAATGAGGGCGATATGAAAAATGAAAAGTTCATCTCGACGTTTACACAAGATGATTTTATTTACATTTCTCTTTTTTTGCTTAACTTTCCGTATCGAAATAAATCTTTATTTTTTGAATATTTTTGGTTGATAAAAAAGGATTATTGTGTTAGATCCGATTTTTTCGGACTTTAATGTTATTTATGGGAAATAAAATATTTCCAACTTGATAATAAAAAGTTTGCGGCTCTAAATAACGAGAAAAATAAAAAAAAAGAATACACGGGAGAGTAAAGTGAAAACTTTTCTTAAGGGCGAGGTGCGGAAGTTGAGTTTCTTCCGCAAACACTAAATTTCTTTTTCGACTTTTTATCAAATTAGCCTACCCCTATATAAAGGTTTTTCTTGTTCTTAACTTTTCCCCGTAACTGTTCTACTTTTGATTTTTTTACATCTTAACTACGTTGAAATTTAATTAATATAATTTATTTTTATTTATTTATTTTAAGATTTTCCTGTTTGTGTATATAGAATAAAGCAAGTTAAGTTAGCAAACGAACTCCCGGAAAGTATATCGCTCAAAAGAGGGGAGGCCCAAAGTTGCTCTTTACGTATTAGCTTCGGGTGTTTTGTATACTTGATAAAAATTCTGTCGAAAGTTGGGGCCAACCCCCGTCGTTATATTTGCATAATCGATATACACACGGCTACATGTTTCTGCAGAGTTTTATCTACTGACGCCTTCAAGCGTTTTGCCTCCGATCAATTTCTATTCTTAACCAAACTAAAAAAAAAACGATTTTTATCACAACTTTCATCATATCTTACCAAATTAGATAACAAAATCCTTAACACGTTAACTGCCAAGCATGAAATGTATTACAATTATCTTAATTAATAATATTTCTAAATAATCTTGATTTCTTTTTATTTAGGTTGGCGATAACAAAAATTGCGACAAAGTTTGCTGAAGATTTCTTCACGGTTTTCTTTTTACCGCGAGTTAAATGAAAAAAGTACCCGATTTTTGAGAGTGCCAGCAACTTTGTCTACTTTGCGATATACAGGACGTCGCGCCTTATTTCTTTACGTAGGTAAGATAAAGGCGCGACGTACTGTCTGATTTCAATAAACTTTACCGCGATTTTTTCCATCGAGCGGTTACGAAGATATCGATGTCTAAAGTGAGGGGCCTTGACTTTTTGCACGGATAGTAGTATAAAAGAGTTTTTATAGATTGGTAATTATTGATTAATTAAGTTAATTATAGTCTAAAATTGTTACAGGTTAAGTGCTTAGAAGAGCTTAGAGTGGTTGAAGAAAGAAAAACGAAGATTTTGAGATTAGAAACAAATAAACAAAGGTGGCGGAAAAAGTACTTTTAAAATTAATGGAATTATTTAATGATAACCTTATATTAGGAGCTTTCCTAGACATAGAGGAAGCGTTTGACAAAACCACCTTTAGAAGTATTAATTTGGCACTGGAATCTCGAAGAGTGCTATTGGTCATCGTGGGCTAGATTAAAACAATACCAGCAAGCAGAGTTGTTCTGATTAACCCTCAACTACTATACTGGGGTGTTTCGATACCCCAGACACCAGTTTTTGCTTCATATCTTTTAAACCAATTTTTTTATAATTATTTGGTTTTAGGTATTCTTCTACAACTTTGATATGTTTAATATAGCACTATCAGACATTTTTTATTTTTAACCATTTTTGGGAAAAGCAACGCTTGGGGTGGTCTGATACCCCACTATAGCAGTTGCGTTAGACTTTTTTTAAAAGGAGAATGATATCATTTAGAATTACATCTATATGAGTTAGTCACACTCTTTACTTATTAACGACGAAACGTAGATTATTTTTATTTACATTATTTGTAATTTTTTACAATTAACTCATATATTTCTTTCCAACTTGAACATTTCTTTCGATTGTTTATAATTAGCGCGGTCGTACTTCGTCGCCGAGACCATAAGACCGGTACAATATTGCGATACGTGAGTTTTATGCGTCGGGGAATATATATAATATATTTGACAACACAATTCGTACATATGTGATTCCCCGGTGTTTTGTATTCTATATAAAGCGACCAAGAGGTTCCATTTCATTTATTCGCCAATCTTTGTCATCGCAGTTTCGTTGTGAGTTTTGTCCTTAGAAAAGTTCGTGAGTTGAAATCTTAGTGTACAAAATAATGAATCGGTTTTTGTCAAACGAACAAGTTGAAAAACTTGTCGAGAACTTTTATGATGATGTGAATGTTGAAGATGAACTTGAAAATGAACAAGACAGCGACCTTAGTGATGCATCAAGCGAACATAGCAGTCATAATACCGACACGGATGAAGCAGAAGATGAAGTAAACGAGAAGAGTAGAGCAGTTTACGATCTCCCAGGGAAAGCAATTTTTTTTTATGGCAAAAATAGATGCAAGTGGTCAAAAGTTCCACCGGTTTCTTCCAGAACTCGACAGGAGAACATAATATATCTTCCAGGCCTAAAAAATAACGCACCTGTGAAACCCCCCAAAAGCCCTTTAGAATGTTGGTCACTTTTGATAACAGATGAAATCATATCTGAAATTTTGGAACACACCAACTCTAAAATTACAGATTTAAGTGTAAGCTACGGTCCCACAGCTACATTTGTGGGACATATAGACGAGATAGAATTGAAAGCATTTCTGGGTTTGATGCTCCTAGCAGGAGTATGCAAATCCAACCATGAAGACGTGAACTTTAGGGAGAGATATATTTCGTGGGACTATGCCCAAGGAGAGATTTCTATTTCTGTTAATCGCTTTGTGGTTTGATGACTGGACTTCCCGACAGGAAAGAATTGAAAGTGGGGACAAACTAGCTGCAATTTCCAAAATATATGATATATTTAACGCCCAATGTAAAAAAAATTACTCATGTAGTGAGTATGCGGTGGTAGATGAAATGTTAGTTGGTTTCAGAGGAAAATGCTCCTTCCGACAGTTCATTAAAAGTAAACCATGAAAATATGGATTGAAAATAATGTGCTTATGTGATGCAAAAACGCATTATTTGCTAAATTCTATATATATTGCGGAAAAACCAAAGAACCAAATCCAAAGAAATTGTCAGTCCCCACTCAAAGTACTCTAAAGTTAGTAGAACCTATTAGGAACACCAACCGAAATGTCACGGGAGACAACTGGTTTAGTTCCATTGAATTAATGAAGGAACTGAGAGATATTGGTCTAACGTATGTCGGTACCTTACGAAAGAACAAGCGGGAGGTTCCTCCGCAATTCCTCCCAAGCAGACATCGTGAACAGGTATCATCTATTTTTGGATTTACACGTAATGAAACAATAGTATCATATGTACCTAAGAAGAATAGATCGGTTATACTGGTTTCAACTATGCACCATGCGTCAAATGTAGAAGAAAACGGGAAGCCTGGGATCATTAATTTTTATAATTCTACAAAGGGTGGAGTGGACGC